TCCTGCTGGGGTCTCCTCCTCCAGCTGCAGCTGCTTCCTCGGGCTTCTGACCAGACCTCTCCCCCTGGGGTCATTTTTTCCCCCACCCTTGTGGGATCTGCAAACCATGTCCCCAATTGCTGACTGCCCTTGATACAGTAATACAACCTGAAACCAATGACTGGCTGATCTCCAAGCTCCCCCTTATTTTCCCAGAAGGAGGGGTACTTACTTATTTCTGTTTTCAGTGCCCATCTTTTCCTCTCTTTCTTCTCTCCCTGTTGGTGGCTCTGGCTCTAGCACTTTTCTGCTAGCCGGAGTGGGACCTCTAGTCTTTTCTGAAGACCTTCCGTTTCCAGTTAGTCTGCATTCATTCATTCAGTTATCAAACATGTACTGTGCCCCTACTTTGTGCCACACCCTGGCGAGTGCAAACAGGCATCCACCTGCCTTTGTGGAGCTGACATTCTCCTGGGGGAGATCCAGCTGGCCTGGATAATCTCACAGTGAATAGAATCACAGAGATAAGTGCCAGGAAGAAAAGGACTGGGGAACTAAGAAACTGTACTCAGTGTGAACAGGACAGTGTGAGGATTCAGAAAGGCTTCCCTGAGGAAGTGATGTAGGAACCCAGATCAGGAGTGAGCCAGGAGGTGCCTGGGAAGGGAGGGATGGTGGGTGAAGAGGATAGTCTGGTGGGGGGTTTTGTGCAAAGACCATTTCCCGAGACCAACGGCTCTCAACCTCGGTGCTCACTTGTGAGAGCTTTGAAAAGCACAGATGCCTGTGCTCCATTCTCAGCCGTCCTGATGGAATTGGTCTGGAGTGTGGCCTGGGCATCAGGGCCTTTACAAGTCAAGGTGAGAACTACTACCCTAGTAGGCCTCCTACCTTTCAGGGAGTGAATTTCCTGATCATATCTTTTCCGGACACTTTTTTCAGAATCAGGTAAGAACAAATAGGCTGAGCGTTTTCAAACATTCCATTTCTTCCAGAAGAAATCGAAGAAACCTACATTCAGAAATCCCTTTGTTAAATTCCTATATATAAGAACAAAATAAAATGAGTAAAAAAATGATGAAAGTTATCAGCCAGCAATGCACTCATCAGGAAGAAGTCTCCATTAATAATGGTCTAAACATAAATAGGGATTGTTTCCCTCCTACAACAAAGAAGTCCAGAGGTGGACAGTGGCTGGCTTTAGTTCAGCCTCTAGGTCTCGCTCTCAGGGCCCCAGGCCCCATGAGGCCCTGGTCTTCCCTGAGATCTGGATTCTTTTCTCACACTTGTTGCTTCATTGTTGCAGCACAGCTGCTACAGCACCAGACATCTTGTCTGTCTTCCAGACAGGAAGAAGGAGGAGGCTGTGTCTCCCTCCAGCTATGCTTCTCCCTTATCAGGATAGACTTCCCCAGACACTCACCCTTCTCCCACCACGGATCTTACCTTGGATGACACTGTGGCACACGGTCACCTCCAGGAGCAAGGGCGTCTGGGAAGTAGAATGCCCATCTGTCTGGTCTCTAAAGTATAGAGAGAGGGAAGGGAGGAAGAGGGTTGGGAAGGGTGTTGCCACACCCAGTGTGGTTAAGGGACCCACACCTTGGACCAGAAATGTCTCTCTGGACCTCTCCTCCAGGCCTCTCTGAAGTCCACACTGTGGACTTCAAACTTCTTTCTGTCGTGAAGGTTGCTGACACCTCCCTGGGCTGTTTGGTTTTCTCTTCCTTTGCTAGTAACAGCAGTCTGTTGCTTCCTAGGACACCTTGTAACAGGACCCAAAGGGGAAAGAGGATTTCCCGGGCCTCCAGGAAGATGTCTTTGTGGCCCTCCCATTAATGTGAATAACCCTTCCTACGGGGAGTCTGCGTATGGGCCCAGTTCCCCACGAGTTCCTGTGGTAAGGCTCTTCTGGGTGGAATCTGGGGTGGTCATTCCTCAGGACTCTTCACATGGTTGATGCTCCCCGCGCTTTGTAAAAGCCTTTTAGTAAAACTTAACTTCCTCCGTTATACTGGGCACAAGCTCGTTACAGGAAATTGGAAAATAAGGGAAAATCAAAAGAAGAAAACCAAGGTTGTGGGTCTATTTTGAAGTATATTCTTTGTCTTTTTTGTGTGTGTGTGTGTGGCTGTGCTGTACGTCTTGCAGGATCTTAGTTCCCCAACCAGGGATTGAACCCAGGCCTTGGCAGTGAGAGCACGGAGTCCTAAACCACCGGACTGCCAGGGAATTCCCTTCTTTGTCTTTTCTAAGAAAAAAGAAAAAATTATAGAAAACTTCAAATAAATACAAAAGCAGAACAAATAGCGTAAGGAACCTCTTTGTACTCTTTACCCGAGTTCAACAATTATCAACTCCCGGCTAATCTTGTTTCCCTTTTACGCTTACTCACAACAGCCTACCTACCTTCGATTATTTTAGAGTAAACCCGGACATCAATTCATAATTTGAATGGGTAGGTAATACCCTGTCCATCATGTGGCTGTGCTGTGATTTACTTAACCAGAGCCCAATTGTCAGATATGTATCAGGTGCTCCCAAGCTTTTCCCTGATATAAATAACACTGTAATGAACACTTTAAGTATAGGATTCTTGTTAAGAATCATTTCCAGGTGTTGAATTACTTGATTAGATGACATCACCATTTTATTTATGTCTTTGTAACATTTTTAAAAAATATTTATTTATTTGGCCGTGTCAGGTCTTAGTTGCGGCACGCGGGATCTTCGTTGCGGCGCTCAGGCTTAGTTGCCCCACGGCATGTGGGATTCTGGTTCCCCAAACAGGGATCGAACGTGTGTCCCCTGCCTTGGAAGGCAGATTCTTAACCGCTGGACCACCGGGGAAGTCCCCAAGTCTTTGTAACATTTTAAATATTATAAATTTTAAACCATGGTAGATATTTTTATTTCAAACTCAGACATTAGGAACTGGATTGGGAAGATGTGGGAATCAAGACATTGGTCCCCACTTCAGGAGGGATGCAGGAGTGTAAAAGCAAACCCCCCTTCCCACTGATCACCAGCCCAAGGTCAGGGATTGTTTCCTCCTCTGGCTCTTCCCCCCGCCCTCTGTAGAAGTGTTTCCTGGAATCCTGACCAACGTTTCCTCCGGCAGATATTTGTGGTCAACAACCAGGAGGAGCTTGAGAGATTGAACACCCAACATGCCATTGCCTTCCGCAGAGACCAGAGGTCTCTGTACTTCAAGGACAGCCTTGGCTGGCTCCCCATCCAGGTACGGGGCACTCAGCACACACCCCATCAGCAGAGGGACTCATCTCCAAAGGAAGGAGAGGCCTGGCGCAGAGCTTTCCATGGAAGTCTGAGCGCCCTCCCTCAGCCCGCCACTGAGAGCTCGCCATGCCCTGGCTCCCCACGTGGAGCTCTGCTCTGGGCCAAGGCTCCAGACAGGCTCCCAGCCCCGCACAGCCTTCCTGCCAACCACAGAGCTCTGGCTACAGGGGAGGCGTGCCCTTCCCCCACTGCCCTGCCCCCGCCCAGACCCTCTGTCCCCGGTGCCCGGCTACCTGTCCCACCATACCGGTAACCGTGCTGTGTTTCTCTGGCCAGCTGACGCCTTTCTACCCTGTGGACTACCCCGTAGACCACCGCGGCTCCTGCGGGGACGGGGTCCTGCAGCCGGGGGAGGAGTGTGATGACGGGAACGGTGATGTGGGTGACGACTGCATCCGTGAGTGGCCCCAGCTTGAACTGCCGCCGGGTGGGGTCAGGCCAAGCCCTGGACACCAGCTGTGCTGGTTTGGGACAGTTCTAAAGCCAGAGCTGGGCTGCTGGGGGGACGACCCTCCCCACTCAGGCCAAACGTGAGCCCTCCCACCGTCCAAGCATGGCGATGGGGTTGCTGTCAAGGATCTTGGCCCCAGAGAAGCCACCGGGCCCTCCCTTTCTTTTGAATCCTACTACTTGGCAAAACCCACGTTCTAATCCAAATTCTTATCAAAAGATAAAGGTGATGCAGGGCTGAGAGGCAGACGGGAGAAGGCAAGAATCTGACTCAGGACTCACTTTTAGCAGAGTCCTCATAGCAGAGCTCTGTTTGGGGGATTGGGCGGCTGGGCTACCTTCAGGCTTATGGATGCTACTGGGACAGGCAGGCAGCATAGGGCTGAAGTGTCGCTTTTCTTTCTTCTTTTTTTTAAAAACATCAAGTGACAAAAGCAGGAGGTGAGGTGGAAAGCAGGAGGTGAGGTGGAAAGCATGAGCTTTAGATTCAGATAGAGTTTGGACGCAGGCTCTGGATGCCACTGAGTCACCCTCAGGCTCAGAGAGGAGGCTACACGGTGAGTGGGGTGTTGGAGGGCCTCACTTTCCCCAACTGAAAAATGGGTATGACTGCACTGAACGCTCAAGCCTTTAGATTCTGTGAGATTCTGTGAGCTGACGTGCGCATGGATTGTCTGGGTGCCGTGAGGGCTCGACATCCCTTCACTGCATTATTTTTTAAGTCCTGCTGTGAGAAGCCAGGGCTGGGGACGTGTAGGTGCAAAGGCGGGTTCCTCGCCAGCAAGGAGCTCAGAGGAGGATGAGAGTGCGCAGGGGCAGGTGCAGGATGAAGTGTCTGGTTCTCTCTGTGTAGCTACACTTCCCGCGACAGTTCCTGGGGGGTGATTCCTAGGATGCTGGCTCTGCCTGGAGTCCCCCTGACCCTCGTGGAGGTGACACAGCAGGAAGGAACTAATAGGGTCTCAAAGCCCTATAAAAATGAGGGTGGGTTCATACTCCTGGCCCCTCCCCTGGTGTGAGAACAGAGACCCGGTGCAAGACGGTCTAGCTCCTGAGGGACACAGGAAGCTCCCTGCAGACAGACAAGCACCACCAAGGCTGTGACGTGCCCGTCTCCCTACCCTCACCTCGCGGGAACCCGCGGTGGTCCTGCGACGGAAACAGTGTCCTCCTGTGGGATTGGGGTTTGAAGCTTTGTGGACATCCCTGCAGGAGGGTTCAGGCTCTGTGGGATGGCGGGGGCTCCTTCAGGCCACATAGTCCTGCCAGGCTGTCCCCCACCCCGCCCCCCTCTCAGGGCTTCACCTCCTGTGTCCCCTCAGGCTGTCGCCGGGCCTACTGTGGAGATGGTCACCGGCACAGGGGCGTGGAGGACTGTGACGGCTCTGACTTCGGCCACCTGACCTGCGAGACCTATCTCCCCGGGTAGGGACCACCTCGCGGGCTGTGACCACACCCTGGCCTCCCTCCCTCCTGCCTACTCCTCTTTCCTTCACAAATATTCCTGAGTGCCTCTGTGTTCCTGGGGCTTTCTGGACTCTGAGGTATGGTGACATAGAACACATGCATGGTCCCTGCTCTCGCGGGGGGACAGTGCTAAACACAGAAACCCACATGCCACTCAGAGCAGTCGCCCGCCCCCAGCTCCGCCTGGGCCCCGGGCTGCAGCTTACCGTGGCCCCTGGATGAGCAGCTCCGTCGCTCCCGTGACCACACTGGCCTCCTGGGAGTGGGCCTGTCTGGGAGGGGGGCCGGTGGAGGGGGGGAGGTATCCGGGCATTTCAGAGAATCTAAGCATCTGTAACCTGAATTCTCTGGAACCACCGGGCAGGCCTGTGGGTACACATGAGATCCCACCAGCCTTAGTATCTAACTTTGGTGGCTCCAAGGTCCTCCCAGAAACCCCCAGGAATGTAGTCTTCCCTTCAAGCACCCCCTGCAGTTGTTTCTGAGACCCCTCAGTGGGTGTTCACGTGGCTCAGTATCCTGAGTGTCCTGGCCTCCACGAGGACATCTCCCAAGCCCGCTGAGGGCCTCTGCCCTGTGAGGCACGATCCCATGCCCAGAATGGGCTCTCCTGGGCTCCCTTCCCCCAGTGCTCACAGGACCAGAGTTGCATAGCTTGTAGGGAAGGTAGGGAGGCCGCTTCTCTTCCAGTCCACATCCTGCTTCTCCCTTGGCCCCAGAGTGGATCCCTGGTTCCTCAGGAGTCCATCTGTCCAGCCGTTCCCTCCAGCCCCACTCCTCTGTAGGCTTGGACCCAGGCCCTCTGCAGGGCTGGGGGACAGACACAAGGCCTGTCTCTCTCCTCCAAGGAGGTCTCCTCAATGCCCACCCCCAAACGCAGGGCAACAAATCAAACCGGGCTGGGGGAGCTCAGACCCCAAACTCCAAGCACTGGGAGTAGGCTGGGCCAGGACCCCACTGTATCTGTGTGTCTGTGTGCACTGCCCCTCCCTGAAGTAGGGAGGCTCCTGCCAGGCCCCTGCCAAAGAGTTGACAGAAGGACACCGCTGAGTGTAAACAGTCGGACCTGGGGCACAGGGACACGTGGAGCCCAGGGCTTACCCCCTCCCCGCCCCCCGCCCCCCCCCGCCCCCCCCGTGGTTACT